GGAATCCTCCTGGTATGCTTCTCCCGAGCTGGCACCCTTAGAAGAGTTCCGCTCCGGAGAAGGCGATGGTGTAGGAGTAGGGGGTCCGTTGGCCTCTCACCCGCTCCTGGAATTATTCGGCGCTTCCTCAAGGGGAAAGCACCGCCATTCTTGTTCTTGCGATTCTTAGCCATTAATACTAAGATTTTGGTAGAACGAATTTGATTGGCTTAAAGATTTTTGAAAGTCTTCCCCCCCAGATGGCGCCAAATTGTTCCGGGTGAAAACAATGGGACCTTGCCGAAGGTCCGAAGATATGGATGAAGACTGACTCGGTTCAAATGATGCTGGGCCGAGGGTTTCCTACACAGCAAACACACGTAAACTGGCTCGGGGGTGGTTCCGAGGAAGGCCCCTCTGATGCCGAAGTCAAATAGTGTTTAGAGAGAGAAAGCTATGCAAGAGTATTAATTGTTTGAGGCTTGAATGTGAATGAACAATAAATGATGTAATTGAAGGCTTTTATACCTTAGCATGACAAGGAGGATGGACGGGCTTGAGATCATCATATGGGCTAACCATGATGACTTGGACCGTTAGCTTGAGATTGACTTGGTAGATTAGAGGCTTGGGCCTTGACCTTGGTTTGGATTGAATCATTTATTGACCGGGCCCAATTGGGCATAATTGGACCCAAACACAACTTATCTAAATATTTTGTATATTTTGTGCTGCTGCCCATTTCAGAGCAGCTTTTGCTTCCAATTCAAACTAATTGCAAATTGAATTGTGATGTTACAAATTTTTATACGACCGCTTCATCATCATAAGACCACTTTATAGGTGAGTTGGGCCAAGGAAAGAGAATAAAGTGGTCTTATGATGATAAGTCGGTTACACAAATGTTTCTCGATTTATCAAAAACTTCATCCCTATTGTTATTCAAGAAGGCCACCCAATTCTAAATGCATGATCTTCTTATGTTCGGGTCCATACACTAAAACTCTTATGTAAATCCTACTTGTACGTAAAATCTAAACAGGAAGCTCATGGTGGGTAAAGAGGGCCATCTTGCATGATATTCGACTTCGTTTCCGTGCACCAATTCAATGGGTCATAGCTAGTACTGTCAAAACAGTTTGACAATTCGGGTTCGGTTCGGTATCAAATCGGGCCAGTTTGAAATTGGTTCAAGTGTCTCGCGGATTGGTTTCAGTTTGGTTTAAATTTTTATTGGTTCGATTCGGTTTTGATTTATTCTTGAGCGGTTTTAATTCGATTCAGGTTGTAAACAGTCCGGGTAGTAAACGGTTTGGTGCAGACGGGTCGCGATTTGTTAACTGTTTGGTGTAAACGGTTATAATCCCGGTTCAAACAGTTTCGGGTCGGAAACGGTTTTGGGTTAGAAATAGTTCGTTTTTTTCGGTTCAGTTTATGACCAGTTTGGCTCTTTTCGGTTCAATTTATAACTAGTTCGGTTCTTTTTTGATTCAGTTTATAACTGGTTCGGTTCTTCTACGGTTTAACGTTATTCGGAACGGTTCCATTTTAAGTTTACTAAATTACGGTTCCAGTCGATTTTCGGTTTCAAAAAATCGATTGTTTATTGAGTCGTTTGGATTCATGCAGTTAAATGGTTTTGGTTTGAAATTTGATAATACTTGCTAACCTTTTGTTGGTTAACAAGTTTTATATTATGTCGAGACTTCATTATTTCATAAATAGGCATCAAATTATATACAAATTCTCATTGATTTTATAAACACATATCATGTTCAGTTTCAAGTTTAGCCATACCAATCTTAATAGTTTGTAGCCGATTCGTTTATAAGCTGCCTAGTTCATAAAACGATTTTGTTTGCAAGCGGTTTGGTTAATAAACGGTTTGTTTTATATACAGTTCGGTGCAAACGGGTCGCGGGTTGTTAACGGTGCGATGTAAACGGTTTTTATCCCGGTTCAAACGGTTTCGGGTTGAAAGCGGTTTCGGGTTAGAAACAGTTCGGTTCTTTTTCGGTTCAGTTTGCTTTCAGTTCGGTTTAGAAATGGTTCGGTTGATTAACAGGTTCGGTTCTTATACGGTGTAACGTTATTCGGATCGGTTTGGTTTCGGGTTCATTCACATACGGTTCGGGTCGGTTTTCGGTTTAAAAAAAACGATTTTTAATCGGTTTGGTTCTCATTTGGGTCGGTTTGTTTCGGGAAATTAATTGATTTCGGTTTGAAATTTGACAGCACTATTCATAGCCAGACTAGCATAGTGGAAAACTATTGGCAAATGAGACTATTTTAAATAATTTTCCATTCCTAGTCATCCAAACACTCCAAAAAGTAATGATGAAAATATTTATATAATGACTAATGATTCCATCTTTTCTATAGCAGAGCATGATATATATTCTTGAATTGAATGGATTATAAGGGAAAGCAGATAAAACTAAAAAAACAAAAAATTAAACCTCAACTCAATTTTGGATGTCACCAACATAATCTATCTTCAGATATATACTTATACAGTGTCTCCCTTCCATTGATGTATTAATTAAGACAAGCTATAAGTCGTCTGAACTACTTCTATCAAACATTTGTCCAAAACCATCTTATCATCATAAAAAGCAAACTTGGAAGCTGAAGTTGTTCTGGGTTCCAGTTGAGAAAGTATCATAAATTTCTTCTGATATTGATGCTAGTAGTTCAAATTACTTTTATGTTCTGTTTTTGTTTTTCTTTTCTTATTTTTGTTTTTTTTTGTTTGTTGTTTTGTGTGTTTATTTTCTGTCAATAAACTAAAAATGCAAAAATACGTCCTTTTATTGTTTTAACTTTTCTTAGAAGTTTGCTTAAGTTTACCATCATCAAAAAGGGGGAATTATTGAAACTTAAAGGTTTTGATGATGATGAACTTAAACTCAAGCAAACTTCGACTTATAAAGGTTCTTCTAAGTGTGTGACTAGAATAGGTGAAGTGGACTTTGGAAGTGGAAGAGTAACTTATTCTATGAAGACATGAAGAAGTTCCAAAGAAAGGTTAAACAAGATTGAAGAAGAGTTCTCTAACAAGAACTAAGTTTCCTAACAGGAACTTGAAAACAGCAAGTTGAAATTTTGACTTGGTCTGCGTTGAAGACAGCAAGTTCTGGAAGAACTTGACCTGCGAAGTTCTAGAAGAACTTGACCTGCGAAGTTCCGGAAGAACTTGGCCTGCGAAGTTTCAGTTCAGAAATGGAGTACATCAGGGGACAACAAGAACTTAGTCCTGGTCTGCGTGGAGCCCAAGTATCCTATCATACAGGATATTTGCGAAGCAATTTAGTTAAGATTTTATCTTTTAGATTTGTTGTAAATATGTTAAGTAGGTTTACGCGTGAGACGTACGACTTATTAGAAACGTGGCAAAGAGGCTCGACAAGCTCCTTAAAATAGTAAAGTTTAAAAAGATAAGTTTTTAAGAAAAGATTTTCTAAAATGTTTTATTTCTTAAAAACTGATTATCAAAAGATGTGATTTGTTTGATAATCTATCTTCAATAAGTTTTCCAAAAAAAAAATCTTTAAAATAGATTTACTTAAAACCGTGTTGTGAGATTTTGTTAAATTTAACATACTTTTTTTTTAATACCCTACTTGCTATACGAGCTAGTCTTGTATAAATAGTAAAAATCTCATTTCATTGTTTTCAGTGAGTTTATGCGTGAAGAGATAGAATTGTGCTTAGTTGTGTAAGTTTGCCAAGCTTATAACTTTGTCATATTAGTTTCGGGTTTCATGCGTAGCTTGCCTTTCATGTACTAGGAGTCAAGTATTTTGTATTGGTTGGGTTCTTGGGAGAGTGTGTGATTTACATCTTTGCATATAGTTATGTAAGCTTCTAGTGTGAGGCTGAGAGAGTAGTACTCAAGGTGTACGAGTGAACCTAAGTGTGGGACTTAGGTTGGGTAGGATAGGGTTCTACAGAGTAGCAAGTTCAGTCTGGAACTTGTGAGTGAGTGAGTATAATAGGTTGTAACTTGTGCGTTTGCCCTATTATAGTGAAGTGGTTTGGTTTTGGAAATCCCTTAGAAGGGTCAAGGTTTTACTTCTAGTTGGGCCCTGGAAGGTTTCCTCACAAAATACTGTGTGCATTACAAGTCCCTTTACATTCTGTTTTATATTCCGCAAAAGTAGCCACTAGGAACTCACATATAATTCACCCCCCCCTCTTGTAGTGTTCGTCTCAACTAACAGTTGAGATCATACTAGCCTGAAGATCGGTTTTTAGTTCTTTGCTAGGCAAGGAAGAATAAGAGTGATCATGTTGACATTATAGCATATCTCATTTTTATGTGTGGTATGATTTTAGAGATTGAGAGGAAGAACAAGGAGGACGAACTTAACGCGATTGTTAGAGAGTTGAGACCATAGGCGGACCTAGGGGGTGGCCTGCCCAGGCCATGGCCCGGCCCATAATTTTAAATAATTATATATACTTCAGGTTGTAATTTTATATATTATATTGATTTGGCTAAGTTGGTTATGTGCTTCCATTTTGTTACAATTGGTTTGGTGTTCGACTCCAGTAGCCTACCAAATTCAACTTTCAGTTATTTATTTTTCTTTGTTTTTGGTTGGGTAAAAGCTATTACTTGAATAAGCTTTAGACAATTGGCCCGGTCTATATAAAATTCCTAGATCCGTCCTTGGTTGAGACATATATAATGTTGCAGCTTTGGAGGAGAAATTCGTGAAAGAAGAGTTAGAAAAGTTGGTATGCTTACTTCAATTAATAATAAATTTGAATTTGTTATCACTATTATTTTTAATCTTTAACCCTTTTAAAATATTTCAACCATGGTATGTGTAGGATACGATAGAATGTCATAATCGAGAAAAGGAAGGGAGAGTTGCTGTAGAAGCTTTGAATGCTTCCCTTTCTCAGGAGCTGGAGAAAACCCATCAAGAAAAAATGACTGATGGCCAAAAGGTATTGCAGCAACATTGATTAGCTAAGTATTCCTGCCACTACATGTTTACACTATACTTGTTCTTATGATGTTTATTTTAAACATTAATCGTTTAGGTAATATCAGCCAATGATATGTACAAGCACTTGCAAGAGTACAATACAAGCTTACAGTAGTATAATAGCATGCTGCAAACAGATCTAGCAACAGCTAATGCAACACTTCATAGGGTGGAGAAGGAGAAATCCCCGATTGTAGAGAATTTATTGGGTACCTTAAGGGGACATTACGTCCCTTGAAAGATTAATTGACAACTTCGAGGGTAAGCCGCTTGATGAAAGCTTCTTCCTTAATGCTTTTCTTTTCAAATCATCTGATTTAACATGGAGCTGTCTTGTGTGGTGTGCCATTTGTTTTAGTTTTTTATGCATGCATTGGTTACTGATATTAGTGATGTATCTTATTAAATGGATCTTCAGTTATAAAGAAATTTTTATAATATGTATCAGTTTGTCTTATCAGTGTCTTATATTCTTTTGACAAGGTATTGTTTTGGATATCAAGGAAATAAGGAAATTTTAATGGTAGTAGTTTATAGGGCTTTTTATGTATATAGAATTCCTTGTAGCTAAGCGGGAAAGGATTGTGAAAATGGTATCCTAAAGGTTAACTTATATACAGCTTTTATTATCTTGTATATGTAAGGAACTCAAAATTAATTTTATGTTCCTCTAAATCAAATTTGTATAATGAAGATGGATGAAATATGATACACAAAATGCAAAATCTAACGACATTCAATTGAAAATGTCAAGAGTATGTGTGCTACTGGTTATAAAAGGTCTGCTTTGTTATTAATTGCTTTTGTTTCCTTGACTATCTCTAGGCTTCCCAAGATGAGGCCATAAAGCAAAAAGAGACGTTTATGAATGAAGCTAATCGTCTACGTGGGGAGTTGCAACAAGTAAGAGAGGATCGTGAACAGTTGCAATCACAAATGAAGCTCCTAACTGCTGAAAATCCGTGGCAGAGTTGGATAACATGATGATCATGTCAAATTCCTTGGAGGTTTATGCTAGGAACCAGCCCGAGCCCAATTTCCGTTTTACATACTCTAGAAGACCCAAGAAGAATCTGTTATAGGCTTGCTGAGCTGGATGTTTGTTATAACCAATTTTGGGGTAGAAGGGTATAATAATAATTTGCTGTAACAGTTTGTTATCAGTTTGTTATTAGTTTGTTATGGTGCTGGCATGCCTTAGCTTGGGATAGGCTGTTAATTGGGGGTATTAATAGGAGGTTTGTTTTTGTAATGAGATATTAGAAAATAATTAATTACAGAAGTCTGTAGTTGGGAGAGCTCCTTCCTCTCGAAAGAAGGTGTATTACTGTTTTTCCTTGTTGAGTAATACAACGTGCTAAGGCTGCCATTGTTAGCTTAGTCTCCAGCCTACATTGTTACACTGATTCCCAGCAAATTTGGTATCAGAACCGTAACGATCTAGGCAGGGACAGTGATAGCTTGCTTGAACCACGGTCAACGCTTGGATCTCCTGGAACAAGAAATTGCTGGGTTACCTGCGCGCGTGGCCCGAGAGATCTCCACCGCGATGGACACTCTCAAAGCTGAAATCGCGAACCAAATTACAGCAGGACAGGAGAGACTCCGATCGGAGCTCCGATCTTCTCAAGAAAACGGAACCCCCGATAATTGGGACAACCCGTTTTCTTCGCATCCACAACCGCAACCGAAGGAAGGATTTCACGGGGGTCATGTGAACTAGAAATTGAGGAAACTGGACTTACCGGTTTTTTATGGAACGAATCCAGATGGTTGGATCCTTCGTGCTGAGCGATTCTTCCACTTCTACCGCCTCTCTGAAGAAGACAAGCTAGAGGCGGCCGTGGTGGCGTTGGACGGCGACACACTCCTCTGGTATCAATGGGAGAATCGGCGGCAACCCTTGCGGTCGTGGGATGCGCTGAAAAGAATAATCCTACGCCGTTTCAGAACCACCGCAACGGGCTCGTTGCACGAGCAGTGGCTGGCCCACTACCAGTCCGGCACCGTGGTCGACTACCGGAGGCGGTTTATTGAGCTCTTAGCCCCCATTGATGATGTTCCTGAAGAAATAGCTAAGAGCCAGTATTTGAATGGTCTCAAGGATGAAATAAGGGTGGAGGTCCGTTTATTAGATCCGGTTTCGTTGGACCATGCTATGGAGTTATCTATGAGGGTTGAGGAGAAGTTGAAAATCAGCCCAAAGCCCAAGTCCTTTGGCAGCCTACCTTCCTGGAGAACCCCAAGCCCATCTGTTAAAAATAACCCAAACCTAAACACCAACTTTCTGTCCAGCCACTCAAATATCCAGAACCCTAACCAAAACTCCACAAACACAAACACTACCCATAAATATCTTCCCCCAGCTCGACCATTCCCTAACAATACCAAACCCACCGGCGAAATAAGGCGGTTGACGGAGAAGGAGCTGCAACAAAAACGGGAACAAGGCCTATGTTTCCGTTGTGACGAGAAATGGAACCTAAACCACCGTTGTAGCCGAAGGGGGTTGAGTGTGATGCTCATGGAAGAAGAGCTGGATGAAGATGACAACGGTGAGCTATCTATGGTTGAGGCGAAAACCGATGTACTCGAGCCACTTCTCCAGGTCCAGTTATCTCACCTAAGGTATCTTTAAGTTCTGTTATGGGTTTAACTAATCCTAAAACAATGCGTATGGTAGGAGTAGTAAATGAGAATCCCGTGGTTGTGATGATTGACCCCGGGGCTACTCATAATTTTGTGTCTAGTGAAGCAGCTCAAAAATTAGGTCTAAACCCCATAGAAACCAGAAGTTTTAGAGTAACTCTCGGTAATGGAGAAGCGGTGCAGGGAGAAGGGATTTGTAAGGGGGTTTTGCTCGACATTCAGGGAATCTCAATCATTGAAGATTTCCTCATACTCCCTCTGGGTAACTCAGACATGATTTTGGGAATTCAATGGTTAGAGAAGTTAGGCACAATTGCCACGACCTGGAAAAATCAGACACTGAAATTTCAGTGGGAGGGAAGCACCATCACTTTGAAGGGTGATCCACATTTGGGGCGGACTGGCATTTCTTTGAAGGCCATGTTCAAAAATTTACAGAAGGAAGGGTTTGGTTACTTGTTGGAATTGAACCACTCAGAAAAATCAGAGGAGAAGGAGCCGAACATTCCGGAGGTTTTTAGACCTCTAATCCAGGAGTTTCAGCAGGTTTTTCATATGCCTGCTGGTTTACCACCTCAGAGACATATTGAGCATGCCATTGTGTTACGGAGTGGGGCCAATCCGGTTAGTGTCAGGCCATATCGGTATCCTCAAACCCAGAAAGATGAAATTGAGAGGTTGGTGTCGGACATGCTCAGCGCAGGGATAATTCAGACCTCAACAAGCCCGTATTCCAGCCCGGTTCTCTTGGTTAAAAAGAAGGATGGATTCTGGCGTTTTTGTGTTGATTACAGGGCCCTTAACAAAGAAACGGTCCCCGACAAATTTCCGATACCCGTCATTGATGAACTGTTGGATGAACTGGGAGGAGCAGCAGTCTTTTCAAAACTAGACCTCAAATCGGGGTACCATCAGATTCGGGTGAAGCCTGAGGATGTGCATAAAACAGCTTTCCGAACCCACGAAGGACATTACGAATTTTTGGTAATGCCGTTCGGGCTGACCAACGCCCCTGCTACTTTTCAGTCTCTCATGAATGAAGTGTTCCGACCTTTTTTAAGGAAGTTTGTTCTGGTATTCTTCGATGACATTTTGGTTTACAGCCCCTGTGTGGATTCACATAAAAATCATTTACAGCAAGTACTGCAAACTTTGGCTGACCATAGCCTGTACGCCAATTTCAAGAAATGTGAATTTGGCAGAGAAAGAGTAGCGTACTTGGGGCATGTGATCTCGGCTGCAGGAGTGGAAGTTGATTCTTCCAAGATACAGGCTATGCTAGATTGGCCACCGCCCATGAACCTAAAACAACTCAGGGGGTTCTTAGGCCTCACAGGGTACTACCGCAAATTCATCAAAGGGTATGCTAACATTGCCCTTCCCTTGACTGAGCAGCTGCGAAAGGACAACTTTGGGTGGACCGAGGAAGCCACTTTAGCTTTCAATACTTTAAAAGCTGCCATGGTGAATGCTCCAATCTTAGCTGCACCTAATTTTTCTATGGCCTTTGTGATTGAAACAGATGCTTCGGGGCATGGCTTAGGGGCTGTCCTACTACAAGCAGAGCACCCTATTGCTTATTACAGCAAGGTTTTGGGGAGCAGAAATAGAGAAAATCCCATATATAAGAAAGAGCTGATGGCAATTGTGTTTGTTGTTGAGAAATGGAGGCATTATTTGTTGGGCCGACATTTCAGCGTCCGTACAGACCAGCGAAGCCTGAAGTACTTGTTGGAGCAAAGGGAGGTGGGTCAGGCATATCAGAAATGGATAAGCAAATTACTGGGATATACTTTCGATATTCACTATAAACCAGGAGTTACTAACAATGCTCTTTCCCGCCAACACAATCCCGAATTTGAGTGTGGAACCATGGTCTCTTCATGTGGGCTGAGATGGGATTATGTACGGGCTTTCATTGACAAGGATGAAGCTCAACAACGCATAATTTCTCAGATTAAGAATGGGGAGGCAGCCCCCAAGTGGTTTTCTCTGGAAAACGAGATCTTAAAGTACAAAGGCAGGATAGTGATCCCGAAGCGATGTGAGCTCACGACCAAGCTGTTGAGGGAGTACCATGACTCCGCAGTAGGTGGGCACGCTGGTGATCTAAAAACTTATCAACGTCTAGCAGGAGAATGGTTCTGGTTTGGGATGCGCAAAGACGTGACACAGTACGTTCAACACTGCCATATTTGCCAACAGAACAAGCACTCGACATTATCTCCCTTGGGTCTTCTCCAACCTTTGCCAATCCCGGAAAGAGTTTGGGAGGATATATCCATGGATTTTGTAGAAGGGTTACCGAAATCTTCGGGTTGGGACACCATACTTGTGGTAGTAGATCGATTATCCAAGTACGACCACTTTATTCCTCTCAAGCACCCTTTTACTGCTCAAAGTGTGGCATATATCTTCATGGCAGAAATTGTTAAGCTACATGGGTTTCCCAGTTCAATTGTTTCGGACCGAGATAAGGTGTTCCTTAGCGTTTTCTGGAAGGAGTTGTTCAGGTTACAGGGCACTCAACTCATGCGCAGTACAACTTATCACCCTCAGACAGACGGCCAAACTGAGGTTCTGAACAAAGGAGTGGAATCTTATTTGAGGTGTTTTGTGAATGGCAAACCACATACATGGGCACGATGGTTACCTTGGGCTGAATATTGGTATAATACATCATTCCACACGGCCACTAATTACACCCCTTTCAAGGCTCTCTATGGACGGGACCCCCCTCAATTGGTGAGATTTGCTTCTGGCAGTACCTCTGTGGCTTCAGTAGAGGCACAGTTACTAGAGCGTGATGCTGTACTCGATGATCTGAAATTTCACCTAACTCAAGCTCAAGTTTATATGCAAGCTTATGAGAACAAGGGAGGGCGTGATGGGGAATTTCAGGAGGGTGACCTGGTATATCTGAAATTACAGCCTTACCGGCAAAGATCCCTGGTACGAAGATCAAATGATAAGCTCTCTCCTCGTTTCTATGGCCCTTACCAAGTGCTCCAGAAGATTGGTAAGGTGGCCTATAAGCTGCAGCTTCCCCCTGGTACGAAGATCCACCCTGTTTTTCATATTTCACAGCTTAAAAAAGCCTTAGGTACTGGTCACCGTCCCACTACCCTTCCTGCACAGCTGACTGCGGACTTAATTTTGGAGGTTGAACCATGGGAAGTGTTGGGTGTGAGGAATTCTCAAGCCTCTATGGAAGTTTTGATTCACTGGACGGGTTTGCAAGCCTTTGAAGCAACTTGGGAATTTTTTGATGAAGTTAATCTCAGGTTTCCTGATTTCCACCTTGAGGACAAGGTGCAAGCTTGGGTGGGAGGTATTGCTAGGAACCAGCCCGAGCCCAATTTCCGTTTTACATACTCTAGAAGACCCAAGAAGAATCTGTTATAGGCTTTCTTAGCTGGATGTTTGTTATAACCAATTTTGGGGTAGAAGGGTATAATAATAAATTGCTGTAACAGTTTGTTATCAGTTTGTTATTAGTTTGTTATGGTGCTGGCATGGGATAGGCTGTTAATTGGGGGTATTAATAGGAGGTTTGTTTTTGTAATGAGATATTAGAAAATAATTAATTACAGAAGTCTGTAGTTGGGAGAGCTCCTTCCTCTCGAAAGAAGGTGTATTACTGTTTTTCCTTGTTGAGTAATACAACGTGCTAAGGCTGCCATTGTTAGCTTAGTCTCCAGCCTACATTGTTACACTGATTCCCAG